GTGTTGGGGTTCAGAGTTTGAGGCCGGCAAAGGTTTGTCTGGGGATCTAGCTCAGGTCTACATCCAGGATCCGGGGGAGTTTAGTGTCCCTAAACAACAAACTCAATCCTATAGCCTACCGGCAGAACCCTTAACAAAATTCTACGTACTAAACCCCAAACCTGTAACACCCTAAACCCTTAAGCGCCTAAACTAAACTCGGGACCCTGAACTCACGGCAGGAAGAGCGTACCATCCGCACTGTGATCTCCTTCGACAAGGCAGATCCAGGTTTTGGCGCTTAGGGTTTAGGGTCTAGGATTCATGGTTTACTCAAAGGGGAAAAGGAGGGACCCTTAATGGGGACCCCTACCCTATAATGGGCTATATAATGGGTATATAATAGCTATATTAAGGGTAGCTACCTAGGGGTCCTTATCAATGGTCCCTCCTTTTACCCTTGGATTTACGGCCTGGGCACTTTTCAGAATCCTTGTTGTGTATCCTTCAATGACATGCTCTATTTTGCTTTGTGTATGCGGCGGTGTGTGTGTGTGTGTGTGGGTGTGCAATCAGCAAGCCAATCACGCCGGGCAATAATTCCTGAACTAAACCCTGAACCTTCTGAGCTCTATGCCGCATGCCCAAAAAGCAGCTCAAGCTCTTGGCCCCAAGCCCCTGACACCCTTACTTGAATGTGGGAGCCTTTCCTTTTTGGCTTTCGCCAAAGCGCCCAGCGTCACGCGCACGCTCATAACCACGAGCCCCAAGCCCCAACTGCCTGAACGGTTGAAACGAAACCCCAAACCCTAAACCCCAAGCCCCAAACCCCAAACCCTAAACTTCCTGAACCATAAACCCCAAGCCCTAAACCCTAAAGTTCCTAAACCCTAAAACCCCAAGCTCTGAAGCCCGAGCTCAGCTGGAACACTCGGCCTTCCTGCGGCCAGGGGGGATCGTGGAGCTACCTCAAGCCGCCAAAGGTCAACAGCACCTCGTCTGGTGGGTGAGTTTAGGCCTGTGGATATTGTGGTTTGGGCATTTCGGGGTTCGTGGTGGTAGGTTTTGGGATTAGGCAGTTGCGTTTAGATTGTGCGTGTCTGGGTTTACATAGCACTAAACTAAAAAAACACCTTAAACCTTGGGGCATGGTTTGTCTGAGTCAAGGTCCCGTTTGAGGTTTCCGCACCCTTCAGCGCAGCACAGCCTTGGGTGCAGGGTCAGGGTTTAGAGTGTAGAGGTTTAGGGTTGAGGGCTTAGGTTTTTGGTTTCAGGGTGTGTGTGTGTGTGTGTGATCTCGCAAGTTCTTCAAATCAACTCTGTTTCTTCGCTGGATGGCAGGGTTCAGAGTCTTCCAAACACCAGAGCCAGATCCTTCACCGGAAAGCTTGGTTCGTAGCCTGTTAAAGTCTGAGGCCCAGATCCGACACTCCAAGACTCAGTCAAGACCGGAGCACCGGAGCCTAAACTCTACACCTCGCGTCCCCCGTAGTCCCCCAGCTTCGAATCAATTTCAAAGGGGAAAAGGAGGGACCCTTAATGGGGACCCCTACCCTATAATGGGCTATATAATGGGTATATAATAGCTATATTAAGGGATTAATGCCTTCAGGTTACTATCGTGGCTGACAAGCGGATGATTATGCCCCTCAGCTCTTCACCACGCCCTAAACCCTAAGCCCAAAACTCTAAACCATAACCCTTAACCTTAAACCCCGAACCTTCAATCCAAAACCCTAAACCCTAAACCCCAAACCTTCAATCCAAAACCGTGAATACCACACCCACAACCCTTTGGAGCGACCCGAGGCATGGGGGCGCCATACTTCTGTGCAGGGCAGCCTTTGCAGGCCAGCTGCTGGTTTAGGGTTTAGGTTTTAGGGTTTAGTTTAAGGTTTAGGTTTTAGGGTTTAGGGTTTAGGTTTTAGGGTTTAGGGTTTAGGGTTTACGGTTTAGGATTTAGGGTTACACCCCAAACCCAAACCTCTAAAGCCGCGAGACGGAGCTTTGCCCGCCAGTCCCCAAATCACAAAAACTCAACCCTCACCTCCTAAACACGAAACGTCATCCTAAGCCCTAACCCCTGAGTCCTAAATCTTACTTTCTGAAATCCAAAGCCCCAATCCTAAACCCTAAACCCGAAACTCTAAACCCTAAAGCCCTAAACCCTAAACCCTAAAGCCCTACTCCTTTCAACCGCCAGTCCTGTGCTCTGCATCTCCACGGGTCCTCTTCCTGGGATATCTTCGCGCCGTTCTACTCCAGCCCAGGGCCCGGCTCTACTACTAGTAGGGTTTGCAGTCCGGGTTTTAGGGTTTAGGGCTTTAGGATTTTAGGGTTTGAGGCTTTAGGGTTTTAGGGTTTTATGGTTTAAGGGTTTTAGGGTTTAGGGTTCTACTCCAGCCCAGGCCCAGTTCCACTCGAAGGGTGAGGGCTTTAGGGCTTGGAGGGCTTGATACAAAAGGGGTGTTTATAATTAGAAAAGGTTTTCGGGGCCCATTCTACTATAAGCATAATAAGGAACCACCAAAATAGTATATATATATATAGATATATAGATATATAGTAATTATTTCAGGGTTCGCATGTTCCTTTGAGGTCTCTTCGAGTTCAGGCTCGTGGCTTTCGGGGCATCTCGCAGAGGGTAAAGGTTACTTACTCAATTACTAAGCTCTACATCCCAGAGCACCCTAAACCTTGATCCCTAGACCCCAATCCCTAATCCCTAAACCCCTAAACACCTAAACCCCCAACACCCCGAACACCTAAACTCCTAGACCCGGACCCTGAAATTCCTTAAACAATATCGTCGGTGCTACGAGCGCCGGATGTTGTTGACATTCAGCCCAGGTGAGAACTGCGTCGGGTGGGAGCCTGAGCCCACCTCCACCCACTCGGAGTCGAAGACTTAAAGTACGGTTGCAGGTTTAAAAGTGAGTAGTGTCAAGCTTAAGGGTTTAAGGGCTTAGGGCTTAAGGGTTTGGGGTTTAAGTTTCAGGGTCTAGGCGGTCTTGGACTGAGGGTTTGGGGCTAAGGGGTTTAGGGTACGGGGTGTAAGATTGGGCCCAACCCGACAACACAAAGACGGAAGGCCTGGCCTTCTCAAACCCTATGGGGTTTAGGGGTTTAGGGTTAGGTTTCAGGGTTTAGGGTTTGTTTTAGGGTTTATGGTTTGGTTTTCGGGTTTAGGGTCTAGGGTTTACCCAAATCCTTCAAGTTGGAGGCCTCGGCTGCAACATCCTACCACTAAACCCCCGCACCCGAAGCCTCACCTGGAGCTGCAGATCCCAAGCCCTAAGAGCCGAGGATCCCAATCACCGTGGATTCTTCGACTTGCCTTTCGGGTCTGAGGTTTAATTAAAGTCTAGGGTTTAGGGTTTAAGGCTTCGGGTTTCGGTTTCAGGCTTTAGGGTCCGTATCTTGGGATTAGGGTTTCGGCGACCTTACACATGAATCACGAATGCACCGTTCAGCAACCTTCTTACCACAGCTTTATACAACCACCCAAGTCAGCCCTAACCAACGGATGATTCGCGACACTTTTCACAGTCCCATAGAAGTTCATAGCCCAAAACCCTAGACCCTACACCCAAAACCCCTAAACCCTAAACCCTAAACCCTAAACCCCCAAACCCCCAAACCCTAAACCCTAAACCCTAGAACGAAGCGACACGCCAGGATCATCATGGGCACTGGCAATGTGGGGGCATCCCTCAGGCCAGGCTCGGTGGTCGCTTGTGGGTAGTAGGTAGTGGGTAGTGACTTGTGGGTGGTGATAATAGGGTTTATTTAGGGTTTAAGGTGTGGTAGGTTGTGGGTAGTAGCTTTGAGCATTCTTCGGTTCTGGCTTTGGGATTTAGGGTGGGTCTTGGGCTCATGCTTTAGAGCATATAGGCTTAGGGGTAGGCAGTACAGGTCGTGGGTAGTAGATAGTAGGTAGTAGATAGAAATCTTCCAACCTCATATTTTCCTAAACCCCGAAAGCCTGAGCCTGAAACCTTTTCGAGGTATAACGGCTACAATTCCTACACAAAACATCCGAATCCTAAACCCCAAAATCCCTAAACCACTAAAACCTTACACCCCTAAACAACCCTGGACAATCCTAAGCAGCCCTGAGGAACCCTAAATATCCTTGAGTTAGACAACCCTAAGCAACCCGGAATAAGCCCAAACAGCCCAAAAGCCTAAATCCTTGAGGAGCTTTAGCTTGGGATAGCTGCGTTGTACACTGTGCGAAGGAGCCCGATACTCCGAGATCGTATTTATATATATATATATATATATATATATATATATATATATATATATTTCTCTCGACATATATGTACATGTTGAAGCTTGCACTAGCCCTCAGCCGCAAATCCTAAAGCCCAAGTCGTTGATTCCTACATTGCACACCCAAAGCCTTAACCCCTGGACCCTAACCCCAACATCCTTAACCCTTACACCCTAAACCCTAAAGCTGAAAACCTTAAAGCCCCATGCCTCAAACCGAAAGCTCTGGCTCAAAAAGTTTGCTGAAACTTTGGGATCCCACAAGATCACAGCTTGGGTTTTAAGAACCCTAGACCCTTAACCCCAAACACTCAACCCTCAACCTTAAGCCCTAAACCCTCATAGAACCCTAAGCCCTGAACCCTCACCCCTAGATCCTTACGTTATAGCCTTTCCGAACCTTCAATCTCCAAAAAAGCGAAGCCTCCTGCATCCCACAGCCTTGAAACCCCTAAACCCCAGTGAAGTCCCTGATTACTCCGCGAGCCCACAACAATCCTAAGCTGCTGAAAGCTGTATTATGGCTTCGTAGAGCTTTCATTTCAGAAACCCCAGCTGGCACGCTTCCGATAGCTGACAAAGACCCCCGAAAGACCGGTACGAAACCCTGACGAAAGCCTGCAGAACCCGTCTTACACCTTTCGCAAGTCCTAGAATTCTCTACTGGAAACCCTGATCGGTAGGATCCTTGTTATAAGGATCACTAGATACCTTGAAGTTTTCTGCCTTGGCCCATCGCTTCGATGGCAACGCCGGGGTCCACAGCAGCAGGTGAGGTATCTGTCTGTGTTGTTTTTTGTTCTTGGAAAGGGGGGGGATGGGTTTAGGCGCTGCAGGGTTGGGTTTGAGGGGTCAGGGGTTTCTGGTTTAGGACTTTGTGTACTACTTTCATATGATTTCTTTGATCATCAGTATTGTGCCATTGTTGGAATTCTATTCAGTGTTGTTGCTTTTTTTTTGTGCTGCCATTATTGCATTGCGCATTATTGTTATTGACTTGATGCGTGTTTCTCCCATGAATGATGCCAGGCCCCAGCGGTGCGCCGCAGCTGCGAAGGCAAAAGTCTTGGCTGAAGAAGGCGCCGTTTGGAGCACTTACTTACATGACAGCACGGTCTAGGATTTAGGATTTTAGGGTTTAAGGTTTCGGGTTTATGGGATCGATGTCTCCTAATAATTGCTGTCCCATATTCGGGGGACCATTGGCCGTTCTGGAAATCTAAACTCCCCTCCAGTAGCCCTTGAAAATGATAATCATCTCCTAGCAGGACCATGTTTCCAAGCCTTGTCGTCCGGGCCAGGTCTGCGGCGTGGCGCTTCTTCCTTGCGAGGTTCGGCTTGTGACGGTAGATGTTGAGGGTAAGGTTGCAGGGACCAGGGTTTAGAGTTAAGCTTCGGGGCTGCAGGGTTGTAAGGTCTACTGCTCGATATGTGTACGGCTGCAGGTTCAGGCCGTTTCCAGCTATGGGGTTTAGGTTAGCACCCAAAGCGTTTGAGTTGACAGAAAGTCGGCCTTTTGCGCCTTCCTGCAGTGCCACCCGCGGAGGCTGAAACTTTTGAGCCCCAAAGTTCTCGCAGTGCCCGAAGACCCGGAGTCCTTCAACAAAGCGAAACACGAGCTCCTTATTAAACCTTCAAGAAACCAGGTGAGGACCCCAAAGCCCCAAGTAATCTTCTTACAGCAACCTTATAGCCACCTTGTAAGACCTTATAAAGCCTTACAAGACCACTTCCAGCCCCATTCAAACCTTGAAAAACTCCTTAAAGGACCGCTTCCCTGCAGGAAGAGTTCGCTCCGTTGCTGGAGAGGCACGATGCCTGCAAGCGAGCTGGGGATCAGCCCGGAGCGCAGGCACGACTCCGGGTTTCTTTGGGGTTGAGGGTTTAGGGGTTGTTCAAGGGTTTCGTGTAGAGGGTTTTGCCGAATGCCATGATGGCAAGGGCTGCTTCTGGCAAGTTTTTTGTTTTACTGTTTATGGCCAGGGTTTATTCCACAAGGGCTCCGCAGAGTTTTGCAAATGCTTTGCAGCAGTCTGTAAGGGTTTTATGAAGGTTTTTTGGTTTAATAGCGCTTTCAGGTTTCGCTCTGACTCTCGCTTTGGCTCCCGCTCTCGCTGTCTCTGTCTCTGTTTCTCTCTCTCTCTCTCTCTTCCTCCCTTCCTCCCTCCCTCCCTCCTCTCGCTCTTCTGTGCATCCATGTACTTAGGTAAGTATGCATACATGTCTGTTTATGTAGATGTATAGTATAGAGCGCCCGTTAGAGCATTGTAACAGTGTCTGTTGCCCGAGCATGTGATAGTCGTATGCGGAAGCAAGACTGGAAATGTAGTGCTATCTTGGAGTACCTTCAGTGTCAAACCAGTATACCATGGCATGCGGATCTTTACAAGTCGTTCAACACTTTCATTGTAATGCTTAAGCACCACCGAGTGCGAGGGCGTCAGGTTGCAATCGGACCAGAAGTGCATACTCAGCGCATTCTGTGGATCTGACTGGGTTCATCTTCCTGGATACCTCCCGTGTTCTTGGCGTCGCATGACCTGTGACATCCGGCTGGCAGCAACGCATGCGGGATACCCCTAGTGCACTGCTATTTAAGCCCCTAAGCCCGAAACCCGAAAGATTAACCCCGAACCCTAAACCGCCACAAGCCCAAAATTAAGTCCTGAACCCCAACACGAAGCCTTAAGGCGTTCTTTCCAGGCTGCCGAGCTGGCGATTCTGCAAGCCCATCCTTTCGTCATTCAAAAGTCCAAGGAGGTGCACTTATGTGTTTGTTTTATTGGCTTTTCTGATGTGTGTTTGTTTTGGGACTTGTTTCGGGGATTATGACTTCGTGGTTTTGATTTTGGGTTGTAGGCCCCTACTTAAAGCATCAAGAGAGGCAGCAAGTAGATGAGAGTTGGGCTCATAAAATGCCCAAGTTGACATCATCGTACTTAGCAGCGTGCGTTTAAACTACTTAGGTATCCTCTGTACACCTTTACTATCCTTTACTCATCATGTGAAGCCCGGTACAACAGACTGAAGTATATGCCGTGTATCCCGTAGTTGCCGGTGACTTGGCTCGCTGGTTACCTGCCGCCGAGGTCTCCGCAGAAGCCCTGGCACCTGGCGTCACTGCGAGGGCGGAGAACTTCCGGCTCTGCGTGCCCAAATTTTCGAAGTGGTTGAAATCTTCGGAGACTTGGCTGAAGCTTTTTTTGCTACGTATCTTTCTAGATGTGCATTGAGTGGCGATTGCAGGATGTTCTGTTCTTCTTGCACTTTTACAGGCCTCTCAGCAGGATTAGTTTTTGACAGCTTGAAAATCCTCGAGGCTACTTTGCAGGCTTTTTGTTGTGAGCACGCCGAACTCTCAACTAAAGGAGTTAGCCTCCAAATCCACATTCCTAATTGCGAAACCCAGCCTTCGAGGAAGCCCTTACAGAAGCCTGAACTCGAAAGCTTAGTAAATAGACCTTAGGCCGCAAACCTTAAACCCTGAACTCCAAACCCGTAAACCCCTATCTCCTAAACCCCAAACGCTGATGAACCCTAAACACTAAGCCTCAAACCCAAAAACTTAAACCCCACAACCCTAAACCCAAGACCTCGAGACCCCCTTTACAAGACCCCAAGCTCTGAAGAGTGAGGACGGAAAGCGTTTCGAAGCGATCCCTGGCGTCGCAGAAGATCAGGAATTCGTTTAAAGCTTCCCTTCAAGGGCTCCTCTAAGGTTCGCTGGCTCTCGCAGGAGTACAAGTACGCAATCATTAAGGGTTCCTTTCAGGGTTCCTTGAGGCTTCAGGGTTTAGGGTGCAGGGTTCCAGGGGTTCAGGGTTCAAGAGTTTAATGGTTTAGGATTTGGGTTCAGGGGTAAGATTTCCTTAAGGGTTTCTTATTCTCGTCCTCGGGTTCCCTTCAAAGGTCTTCTACGGGTTCCTTGACGATTTCCACCAAGGCATTTATGAGGGCACTGTGCATTTTGGTGTTTTGCGGTTTAGGGTTTGGAGGTCTAGCCCTCGTATGTATTTCTAGTGCCAACTGCCACACTGGCTGTTGCAGTTTGCTTTGCAAACCACCTTCATGCTTGCGCCTTCATCAAGGGCAGCTATCACCACATGTGCCCTTCGGGGTTCCTCAACCCTAAACCCTAAAGCCTCGGGCGTCCGCAGAAAAGGAGCTCAACAAAAAAACTTAAACCCTCAACCCAAAATGCCCCAAAGCATCCAACAAGCCAAGCCGAGGAGGGGCAAGGGCTTCGACGACGGCGTGTACCTGACCTCCGCGCTACTCCGGAAGTTTCTTCCCCGCGGCTACACCCACTTCTGCTTCTGCAAGGAGGGAGCGGAGGTGAACGTGGTGCTCCGGGGCTTCTTCAAGTTCACAGGCTGGGCAAGCAGGGCCCTAATAACAATACGGGGCTTTTTGAATAGTTCGTAGTAGCCATCCCTCATATATAATAGTCCTTGAAAAGCTACACTAGAAAGGACCCCAAAGCCGCACCGTAATTAACGACCCCCAGGTCAGATGAGCTTCCAGTTTGGGTAAGGCTCTACCACTGAAGCCCCATACGTTTATGGGGTTCTATGCATGCATGTACGTGAATGATGAGATGAACGATAAGACCAGTAGTATTTGCGGTTCCTCTTGGAAGCAAGTTCCCCCAGCCTTGTTGGAGCTTTTGTGTTGGCGTTCTGTTGAATGTAGCTCCCTGCAGAAACATCTTGGGATCTTACTCGGAGTCAAACCGAAGCTGTGTATTCCTACCTCCTGCATTTTGCTCCTCCCGGCCGCGAGGCTTGACAGTTGCCGATGAGGACGAGGAGTCCAATGTGACGGCCGAAGCACATTCCTTCCTCTTCCACGGGCCTCCTGCCCCGCAGGTGATTGAGAGTTTAAGGGTGGTTCAGGGTTTAGCAGGTTTACTAGCCACTGGGGTACTTTACCGGTACCCTTGCTGGGATTAGGAGAGCGTCAGGAAAGACTATTAGTCACAGGGTTCAGGGGTCCAACATTGCATAGAAGCCCTTGACTTTCGCAAGCATTTCGGGCTTATGGTCTTTTTCAAAGCACTGCCTAAGAGATCCGTTCTGTGGCGGGAGTTATATACCATTCTGCTCTTGGGGGACATCTTGCGCAAGGCTTTTGGCGATCAAAGAGGGTCAGCGAAGGTTGCGCAGGATGAGAAAAGCCCCGGATCACAACACGCTGAAGTCGTACGTGTGTATATATATATATATATATGTGTATATGATTGTATACGTATACATAGAAAGATATATGCCTGGAAAGAGCCGAAGTAGATGCAGATTTATCTATATACGTGCATGTAGATGTAGTATGCCCATTCGTATGTATAAACACCGATATAGATATGGAGATAGAGATAGACACCCCGCTCCAATCAACATCCAGCAGATTATCTAAGGTATACCATGGAGGATGCCCAGCGCTTCTGTGTCACAACGAAAAGCAACGGAGAAAACGGGAAGTACACTTTCCGTAAGATTTTTGGAGACTGGTATGCCTTTGCCGGGTCAAAAAACACCGGCAACGCCTGGAAGCTCGGTGCGGATGTCAGCAAGTTGCTCCTCGCCTATGAGGGCTTTCGGGTTTAGAGGCCTGAGGTTTGAGGTTTCCAGGTCAAGTTTTTCTGGCGATGCATTTGCGAAACGGGCATCCCCCGACATCTGAAGCCCATGATGCCAACTCTGATGCCCAACTTCTATCCCGCCCCTGCGCTCGAAGCCACGCGCTACAGCCTTAAGACCCACCCAGATTAGACGAGGGCTTCAGAAAAAGCCTTAGCATCCGTGTTAGGGTTGGGGCGTGGGTTTTACAGATTAGGTCATCATATGTTCTTGATCCACGCTGTCGAGCCTGTGCTGGGCCCACTCTCGCAAGAGGAACTTCGTTCCAAAGTTGTAGGAATCGTCACTTTCTCCTTCATTCTGACGGCCCTTTGACCTATGATCTTCAAGGCTGACGCCAGCATTGGTTTTCCCAAGACCGAGACCTGCAACCGAGTTTCCGAGATCCCGAAGTCTAAAAGCTCTCACCCCTGAGCTTCAAGACTCTCCTTGGACCCAGGACATTCTATGCTCTTAAGTCTGTATGACCTGAGCCCTGAACCCTACGGAAGCTCAGAGCCCCCAAGCCCTATTCCGTGTCAGGCGGATAGGCTCTATTCACTCTCAACCCTCCCTCGAAAACCCGACCCTAAACTCCACAAGCTCTAAACAAACAGTGTATATCCCTAAGCCCTAGAAGACCCAAACCCACGAGGCATCTTCCCCAACCTGAGAAGGCCCCCCAAAGCCCGCAAAGTAGTAGTACAGGGACCTTAATAGTTAGAATAGGGTTTTGCCCACCAAAAAAGGATATGTGAATGCATATATAGATATATAGCTAGATAGATAGATAGATAGATAGTTATATTGGTTATAGTATTGGCAATTATTTACAGTAAGGCACCTATATTAGGCCCTCAGCCGCCTCGGTCGCCGAGGTATCCCGTGCCCCACCTCGATCCGGTCGGGCGCGTCGGACCCCAGCTTCTTTGGTGCAGTCGGTTTAACTGTTCTTTTCGTTTTGTTGTGCATGTTTGAAGACGTTGCTTCTGCTTTATTATGTTAGTTGTATTGCAATATAATACAGTATTATATTGCACTATTATTATTATTATTATCATTATTATTATTATGGTATAATATGCTTTCGCTTTTGTTTCATGGCGTTGTTGGTTTCCTGAAATCGGGCCTGAGGTGTTCAGAGCTTGGGGCTCGGTATGTGCGGTTCTTGTTCTTGGAAGCTTTAAGGTTTGAGGGCGCCTTAAGCCCTAAAGCCCTTAAGCCCCGAACCCGAACCTGAAACCATAATCATATTGCAGACGAAATCAGCTTGCTCGAGTTCCCGAGGATTGCGGCGTATGTTGACAGCGCCGTCTCGGAGATGCCAGAAACAGCGAGGGAGGCATCTGGGTTGAGGGTTCAGTTTAGGGCCCAGGGCTGTTAAGGAACTGTACTTTTGAGAAGTGAGCATGCCTTTGAAGTACTTCGTGTCAAGTTAGTATACTCAATTAAAACGCCCATGCTTTTGCTATACCTGTTATGGTGCTTTAAACTGGACTCCTCAGCAAGCAGCCAGGCGTTCCTGGAGATGGTCCACCAGAAAGAGGCTGGGCCCCTACACCCGAATCCCCTCAACCCAAAACACTTGAACCCCCAAACACCAGCAATTTCCCATGTTTCAAGCAATAAATTAGACCCTCCACCCCAAAAAGACTGGTTGAAGGAACCAGTGTTTGGAACCCCCAAGGTAACACCGCAAACCGTTGGACCCCAAACCTACAAATCCGCAGGTGACGGTGATGGTGGAACAAAACGACGAGAAGCACGAGCACATCTTTCCAATCGAGCGCTCCTGGATGGATCACGTCGCCATCCTTTCCTCAGATGCTCCCGGGATGAAGTTGCACGGGGGTGTTTTTTCGGGGTTTCCAAGAATGACCCTAAACCCTAAATCCTAAATCCTATGCCTCAAACCTTTATCTTCAGCTCCAGGGCTTTCCGTGGTCGCAGCACGAAGCGTTCGCCGTCTTCGACCAGTACGGCCTGCGGCGTGTGGCGCTGGACATCTACACGGACATGGGGAAGTTGAGCTCAACGATGGATGCCATCCGGAACAGTACCGACACGGAAGGCCCAGTGGTCGTGCGCGATTGGGATAGGACTCCCAGGATTCCTTTAAGACTTTAAGGATTCCGTCAATGCTTTGGGGTGTATAAAATAAGAGCCTCAATGATTAGAGCTGTTGTTTAGGGGTATTCTAGTAGACTTATATGAGGGAAAAAATCTGCACACATTTAACCTACAAGTAGTCCCTAAATAAATCCTAAGCGTCAAATGTCCAAACCCCGAAGCCTCAGCATTGCCCAACCTTGCGCAAGGGGTGCACCGAATGCACACCCCAAATATCAAGAACTTCTCTACAAACCCGAAGTCATAGGATGTATTGATTATACACCCTGGACCCTAAACCCTTAACCCTAAACCCTTTACGAAGGATCCCAGGAGCCCACGCCTTGGGCTTTGTAAAAAACGTAGCGGCCCTACAGCGGCGTAGCACAAACCCTCTAGTACCAAAACCTGCCCACAGCGTCTTATACCCGGGTTTAGGGCTGAGGCTTTAGGGTTAAGAGCTTCGAAGAAAAAGCCTACACCATCGTTTAAAGAAGCTTGTAAGGAAATCCCTGTACCAAGAAGGTTTCGGCATCGCATGATAAAAGAGCCGTTCGGAAAAACCCGAAGCCGTAAAACCCGGAGCCCTCAACCTGAACCCAAACCCTAAAGCCTAAAAGCCCCAATAAGCCTCAAAAGGCTTCAAAAGCCCTTAAACCCTGGAGCCTGAGAGACCTAAATGCCTTCCAAGGCCTAGACTTTCGAAAAGCCCAGAGAACCTCCGACTCGCAGGCGCCGTTCTTTACTTGGAGCGCTTGGATGGCGTCGCAGTGGGGCTGATCAAGGTGGGGGCGTTTCTGAGCGGGAGAGGTTCAGGTTGCTTCAGGGTTCGGGCTTCGAGACTGAAGGGCTTAGGGGCTTGTAGAATATGCGTTTCCCCTTGTGTGTCCTGACGCTTTTATGGTCAAGTCAAGATCAAGCTTAGCGGACAAAGCTCAGCATTCTGGCTAATTGTACAAGAGCCATAATCGGCAGAAGCCAGCAAAGCACAGAAGCATGTCCTTGCTTGGTAAAAAGACCGGAAGTAGCTTGCGTTGATCGTGCATGGTTGGTGCTGCCCTGTCTGCATAAATCCTTCCTCTTACGACTTCGCCCTCAATTCGAGAAGTGGATCTTCAAAGACTTTTAGGTTATGTATGCCCAAGAACCAGACGGCAACTCCGCTACTACGTCAATGAATGGGACTTTGGGTGCCAACGCTTTGTTACCAAACGGTGTGAGCTCTGGAAGTCAACAGGCAATGGATGGAGCAAGCAGAGATCAGCACGGGAGTAACCCCAATGTGTTTGACCCAGCTCCTACCTCTACGGCCCGACTCTCCACAGAAGCCCCACTGGAAAGGGAAAAGGAACTGCGAGGCCCAGATCATCCACCATATGGTCAAGGGATGCCGCAGGAACCGGTGCAGGCAACTCAACAGTCGAGTCAGCTGTCGTTTGCGCATGGGAGAAGTGTAGCTACACCGCAGACACCTCAGAGCGCGATGCGTGTTCAGGAGTTCTTTTCTGCAGAGAGTAGGACATCGAATGTGGGAACAGAACAACAAGGGGTGAGGTGGATGGCGAGATTTACAGAGTTCCTTCGGACTACTGCTCATCGTGGGGCAACGGGGATGGACAGGATGCTAGATTCTTTTGGCATTCAACATGGAGGAACCGGAGCTCCCCTTCGACCTCAGCCTGGAGCTGGGGCGCAACAGCAGATAAACTTCTCGCCGCCTGAGGAGCTACCATTACAGCCTTCTCACCCACCGGTGCCTTTGTCGTGGACGACTGCTCGACCTCAGGAGCCTCCTCTGTTCAGCAGTTCTCAGGTTGAACATATGAGGCAATCGGTTCGAGAACATCCTATGATCTACGGACCGGGTTCAGAAGTGGAAAGCGATAGATCGTCACGACTACAACAAGAAGTACAACGTCAGATGGAGGAGTACACGTCAAGGTACCATGAGCACGTCATGAGGTTGGAGCGAGAGGTGCAGTTGTTGAGGAGTGAAAGGGCGTCATGGAATAATAATGGGTTTCAAAGAGGACTACCACAAGGCCCTGGCGTATCCGCAGGAAGTCCTGCTCAAGTACCTGCACAATCCAGTGTTCCACAAGGCCCTGGCGTATCCGCAGGAAGTCATGCCCAAGTACCTGCACAATCCAGTGTTCCACAAGGCCCTGGCGTATCCGCAGGAAGTCATGCCCAAGTACCTGCACAATCCAGTGTTCCACAAGGCCCTGGCGTATCCGCAGGAAGTCATGCTCAAGTACCGGCACAATCCAGTGTTCCACAAGGCCCTGGCGTATCCGCAGGAAGTCAGCCTCAAGTACCCGCACAATCCAGTGTTCCACAAGGCCCTGGCGTATCCGCAGGAAGTCAGCCTCAAGTACCGGCACAATCCAACGTACCACAAGGTCCTGGTGTAACTCATGGCAATCAAGAGCAAGTTGGTTCCAAGGCTACAGCTACGTCAACCCAGCCGGAAGGTCACCATGCAACAGGTATGTCAAGTGGATCGTCAGCTCAGCAGTGGTTGGGAAGTCCACAGACTCAGGACCAGATGGCGTTGTTGGCAGGAGGGATGGCGCAGTTGCAGCAGGCCATGTTGAAGCAGATGACGGTCAACAAGGACGAGGATAAGTCTCCTGAAGCAGTAAAACCGGGAGTTTCGCAGCTGCCATCGTTGCCCCAGGTGAAGGCAGAGTCCAGTTCGATTGACATAGCGGATTGGATGGAGATGCTGGCGGCTCCAATGTCAGACTTGAGCGACGGGTCAGCAGCTTGGTGGAGAAAGGTTTGCGAGCAGGCTACGTTGGCTTACCAGGCCTGGACTGATGCGGGTCCAATGGAGCGATTGGCCATAGCTCCACCGAAGGACCCTTCGTTGGAGGATGGTAGGTGGGGACGAGTGAACAGCAGAGCGGCTTCGATGATATTGTTGGCCCTTCACGAGAATGTTCGCTCTGAGATGGTTGCGCGACGACTCACAGGGTCAACAGTCTCGCTCCTCTTTCGCCTTATGACCCTCTATCAACCTGGAGGTGAAGCTGAACGCTCGCGGATCTTGAACAACTTGCAGAACCCGCCGGAGGAGACGGAACCCCAGAAGATTGTTGAAGCTTTGAGGTCGTGGGATAGATGGCTGCGTCGTTGCAAAGAGCTGAGTTTGGCTACCCCAGATCCAACAATCTTGGCACGTGGCTTGAACAAAATGGTTCGAAAGCTTGTGGAGCAGAACGCCGACATGGGCTTCAGGACAAACCTGGTGCGCTCCACACTTCAGGTGGACACTCGGCCTTCCTACACCAGCATCGACACCTACTACAAGCACCTGATGGGTGAATGCGAGGCGTTAGCTGTAGCAACCTCTTCTTTGTCAACGCAGGCCTTGAGCTCTACCTCAACCAGACCTGAGCCAAAAATAAAGCCGATGCGAACGGAGATGAGGAATGGGAACTACAACACCCCTCCTCCTCCACCAAAGCCGCCGTCGACCCCTTCTACGTCGCCAACCAATGATGGTGCGGAGTCTCAGCGCTCCAATGGTGAAAAGAAGGATGTCCCGTGCAAGTTCTTTGGAAGGACGTTTCGAGGGTGTGCAAGGGTGAACAAGTGTCCGGTTCTTCACTCGTGGGATGGACTTGAAAAAGAACGCCCATCAAGATGCCTGGCTTGTGGAGGCAAGCATATGGCAAAGGACTGTCCCAATAAAAAGGGAACCCCGCCGTCATCTACGACAACACCCCGCACGGCTAACAAGGCAGCTGGAGAACAAGGCGGACCCACTTCAACAACACCTACCACAACCAAGACGGTGAGAATTGATGATAAGCCCCAGGTTGAAGGAGGTGGTGGGGAAACGACCGCGTCAGCTACGACTACCAATGACCTCAAGGAAGTGCTTGCGGATGTGGGAAAGATGCTTAAGGCGATGACTTCAGTGACTACAATCAAGCGGGCAGAGGTCAAGGACGATCCCTTGTTGGTTAAGATAAAGGTGTTAGCGGCTAAGTTTGGCTATGAGGATGAAGATGAAGGTGGCGGCCTCCTGGACGGTGGTGCCTCACATCCGATGCGGGCAGCTACCGAAGCCGAGTATGAAAGAAGCATTCCGGTGAAGGTGACGTTAGCCGGTGAGGAGGAGCGTGTTCTACGACAAAATGGTCAGGGCACTGTTCTCTTGAAGCCAGGAGAAGCGGAAAACTCCCAGCCGATCGTTCCATTGGGAGCTGTCATAAGAGACCTGGGCTGCCGCTTGCAATGGAAGGAGGATGGAATCAAGCTCTTCCACCCGGACCGCGGGCAGGTGAAGATCAGAATCCGGAACAATTGCCCGGAGGTGAGCACAGCAGAAGCTCATCGCCTGATTAAGGAGTTGGAGATGGTTCAGCTGAAGACGCTCAATGATCAGGTTTCTTCCCTCTCGGCGAGATTGGAGGTTTTGCAGAAGGAGGAGAAGCGCACTTGGGATCAGCTCCTGAAGGACTTCATGGAATGTGGAGATCGCGGACTACTTCATAGAGCTCTCCTTCTTTCCCCGTTCACCAAGGACCTTCCGGCGGATGTGCAAGCTATGATGGTTGCCAGCTTCAAGGTGGAGGGCGGTGATGAATACCTAAGGAAGCTACCTTTCTCGAGGAGGAAGCGACGGTTGCTACAAGCTTCAAATGACTGGGTTGTGAAGTTGTTCCACGGCAAGAGCGAGGAGAATAGCAACTTTGAGAGGATTATCTCCCGAGGAGGAAAGGTTATCCTGGAGGTGGACGTGGCGAACTCGAGGGCAATGGATTTGCATGGAGCGTCTCCGGTCTACCAACTTCTACTGTGGGCGGCTGCGAAAGGAAAGATTGCTGACGTGATCGGCAGTCCCCCGGAAACTACATGGACTACCTCCTTGACACCAACGAGGGGACCAAAAGCGATCCACCAACGGACCAAGGACTTTCCGTTCGGAGTGCCGGGACTTTCTGTACTACAACAGCAGCGCTTGGACCAAGACACGGCATGCGTGGCAAAGCAGCTTTTGTTGTGGATGTGCGCCATGATGAAGAGTAAAAGGAATGTGGGATTTGCCTTGGAGTTCCCCGCGGATGTTGTTCCAATGAGAGAGGAGGAGAAGGACTACCTTTCGTTTTGGAAGACTGAGATGTGGAAGTCTTTCAAGTCAGTGAGCGGAATGGCTAAGGCTACCTTCAACCAAGGAGCAGTGGGACATCAAGCACTACGACCCACCACAATAGCTACGAACTATCCTGAAGTTTTGGAGTTAGATGGTGATTTCGACTTCGGGAGCCATTGTGTGCCTACATCGCTGCTGGACCGAGCGTCTTTGAGAAGATGGTCTTTACAGCTGGAGCTCATGGTGGCAAGGGCTGCAGTGAACTACGTTCCTTCTCCAGAGACTGAGGAGGAGGAGGCGATTAACTGTGGAGCAAGGATGAGTAAGTTGACCAAGGACCAAAAGGACGCCTGGACCTTGCACCTCTTGAACGACCACCAGCCATATCGAGCAGATTGCTCAGTATGTTTGAACGCCCAGGCAACCGGCTACCAACATCGTCGACGAAAACAACCACAACTATACGCCCTGGCGCTGGACCTTGCAGGTCCTTACAAGGTTAAGGGTCGTGACATGGACTTTGACGATTACAAGTACATCATGGTTGCAGCTTATAAGTGCCCCAAGGAGTACCTGGATGCTAAGACGCTTGAGGCGATGGAAAAGGAGTTCTCCGTTGATGAGTACGAGCCCTCCGATGGTGAAGGGGAGTTTGGGATGATTGAGGACGAGAAGGGGTTGATGGAATCGGCTTCCGGAGGTGAAGAGGAAGCTCATGGTGATCCAGAGGGTCCACCTACACTTGATGAGGCAGTGGAGGAGCTGACAGAGACCCCTGAGTGCATCACAATGTACATCACTAGGCCTTTGAGGAGGAGAACCAAGAATGAAGTTTTGCGAGCTTCGAAGGAAATCCTTTTGCAGTTGAAGCAGACGGGCCTCCATGTTGCTACAGTGCACACCGACCGGGCTCGGGAGTTTTCTTCGGTCATCTACAAGGACTGGATCGCCGACAATGGCCTTCGTCACTCACGGACAGCAGGAGGAGACCCGGCGGGCAACAGTACGGCTGAGCTTGGAGTTAAGTGGGCAAAGTCGAGGGTGAGGGCATTGTTGAAGGCAGCGCAGGCGGATGCCCGAGATTGGCCTATGGCAGTGCAACATGCGACTTCTACGGCTTGGCCGGAGGCTTTCCCATACACCCCGAGTACAAGGACGCCAGCAACTCCCTTTGGAAATGAAGTTTGGTTCCGTTCAAAGAACTACAAGGGCACTGGAGAGAAGAAGCATGATCCTACCGGGGCGCGGTGGAAAAGAGGATGGTACCGAGGACCCTCTTACGATGTGAACCGGGGCCATATTATCCTTCGAGAAGATGGAGGCCTCACGATAGCCAAAAGTGTGAAGTTCAACGTTGTGGACCCGTCAAAGGACCTACCTGATCTACTACCACCTGGAATGGCAGAGGATCTACTTCCAGAACCAGAAGGAAGCGATGTGTTGGTGCCTAAGAGGACCTTGGAAAGTGAAATTGAGTTTATTGCAAAGATGCTCCTTGGAAAGGGTGCGTTCAAACCTACGGACGTGATGTACCTCTTCGAAAAGCTTGAGGAGCTGGGCAATACCGATTTTCGGGTCGGAAAGAAAACTCCTATGACAAGTTGGTACACGGGAGCCTTCGTTCATGGCGGTGTGGCCGGTCTACGAACCAATGCAAGAAGGTTTCCGAATGCTACAAAGTACTTGGTCGCCTACGCCAAGGATAAGGTTGGTGATGGGGAGTTTACAGCCATTGGACTTACCAGGAACTCTGCGCTAGGTCTACATCGTGACGTTCACAACAGTCGATGTTCTACGAACACAGTTCTTCCTGTGACTGAGTTTGAAGGGGGAGGACTTTGGATAGAAGATGATGATGTTGATGCAGAGGACGCAGTTCTCAAGGCTGTCCCAAAGAAGGGTGAGGTGAAGGGACGCGTGCAAGAGCTACAAGGTGGCAATCCTGTGAGCTTCAAGCCGAATTTGTGGCACGAGGTTCAACCATGGAAGGGCGAGCGTGTTGTGATGTTGCTTTACACACCTCGAGCTTCAAGGTTAAAGCCAGCTGAGATTGAGGAGCTCAACGATTTGGGTTTCAAACTGGCAACGGGAGCATCGACTGAACCCGAACCAGAGGTTCAGGAGGAGTGCGAACAGGACGATGACATTGAGATCAAGCGAGCGTTCCTGAACACCGACAAAGATCAAGATGATGCGTTTGTGGAGCTTGAGGATGATGAGTTGTTCTCGGGAGTGGACGTGAAGAACAAACCGTGGCAACGAGTTCCTGATGCAGAAGGTCAAGTTCGACTACGGAAGATGATTAAGAAGTCCGAGGTCCAGTATACTGAAGGGATCGAGGAGATTCTTCAACACCACATTGATAAAGCCAAGCCTTTGGAGGTGACCCACACCGTGAGCCTAAGCGAAGTTCGAAGGGCAAAGGACAAGTGGCTTCCCTCGGCCAAGAAGGAGTACGACAACCTAGTGGAAGGAAAAAAGGCTTTCAAGCCAACAAAGTTCAAGGACCTCCCTGCTGGATGCCGCATTGTTCCCTGCAAAGGGGTTTTTACAGTGAAGCCAGATCCTCAAGCGGGCTTCAAGCGCAAAACGCGCTTTGTTGCATGTGGGAACTACCTGGAGGAGGGTGAGCTCACTGGGAATGACTTTGAGGTCTATGCTGCAGGCTTGGATGCTTCTTCACTGCGAACCATGCTGGCGTATCGGACTACTAAGCCTACGTGGGGAGCTGGTGTGACGGATATAAGACAAGCTTTTGTGCTGGCGCCATGGATTGGGAAGGCTGTGGCACTTAAGCCACCACCCTTGGCGGTGGAATTGGGATTGGCGGAGGAAGACGACTACTGGCTAGTCCTTCAGTCCATCTACGGACTAAGGGAATCCCCAGCCGCATGGGCAAACTTCCGCGACAAGGAGCTCGAGGCTGCACGATGGGAATGCCAGGTGGAAGGGAAACCCACAGTGTTGAAGCTTCAGCAGTTGGTCTCCGACAATCAAGTGTGGAAGGTTGTGCGTGCTGATGGCCAGGGTTCAGAGCTGGGCTAATTGATGGTGTACGTCGATGACCTGATGATAATGGGAACGAATAACGTCATGGAGTCGTTTTTTGGTTGGGTTTCGGAAAAATGGGAATGTGATGATCTCAATATTCTGTCTGAAACCAACCCGATCAAGTTTTTGGGAATGGAGCTTCACTACGTCAACGAAGGCATTGAGGTGTCTCAAGAAGGGTTCATACGAGAACTACTACGAGCACATAACCACGATGGTGGAAGAGCCAAGACTCAGGGACCCAAGGAGACGCTTATCATGTCGGCGGAGGAAGAAGCAAGCCTTTTGGATGCCATCCCGATAGACTTGAAGGGCAAGGAGAAGGTTATCAAGGAGGCACAGCGACGGGTTGGAGAAATGCTATGGCTTTCCTCTAGATCGAGGCCAGATATTCAGTATGCTACGGCAATAATGTCATCGAGAATCACTCGGTGTCCGGAAGCTGTGGTCACCATAGGAGATCGTTTGCTTGACTACCTGAACGAGACGATGTATGAGAGACTTCGATTTGCCAATGATGACGGCGGTGATTTTCAGCTGCGGACCTACACGGACTCAAGCTTTGCCCCATCCTCTGGAAAGAGTCATGGTTCGGTTGCCATCTTTTATGGGACGTGCCCTATTGCTTGGAGGAGCTCTAGGCAACCACTGATAGCCCTTTCAACGGCTGAGACGGAGCTAATGGAAGGAGTGGAAGGGGCCGTTATGACTCTTTCTACGAAATGCCTCCTGGAGGAGATTTTGAACAAGCCGGTGATGGTCAACCTACACATCGACAATAAGGCGGCTATTTCCTTGATGACTACAGCATCGGGGAGCTGGAGGACGCGGCACTTAAGGCTACGTGCTAACTGGATAAAGCAGAGAGTCCAGGAGAATGACATGGTGATCAAGCATGAGCCGGGCGTGACTCAGCGAGCGGACCTTGGAACAAAACCCCTGCCAAAGGACAGATTGGCGGAGCTTAAACAGCTATGGGATATCCGAGACCGACGAACCCCAAGGCCTGTGAACGTGAAGAGTATGAATATTTCATCTTGGATGGGCAAGTTGGTGATGATGTGTCAAGTTTGCGGAGCAGCGGGTTATAAGGACACCATCCAAGCAGAGATCCCCTGGGACCTGTACTTTGTCATCATCGTGATGGCCATTGCGGTGATTGGGGTTTGGGAAGCGATGAAGCACTGTGTGAACAATCGTCCCGTTCGACTACGTGCTCTGAGGACTAAGGCCCTTAACTCGACCTCTGACAAGCTCACGAGGAATGAGCTGAAGGAGCTGCAAGTGTTGATGTCAATGGTTCCTGAAGACTTGAGCGACGAGCAGAAGATTCGGCTTGTTGACTTAAAGAATCTCTTCGAAAGGACAATGCCCTCGGGTACATCACCGGTTCCTACAGTTCGAGAAGAAAGGGAACAGTTTGCGGAAACGCCTGCTTCGTCCTCTACGACTTCAGCATTCGCGACGTCTTCTTCTAGCACAAACAAGCAGCCAAAGCGCAGAGTGATTACAAAGGACCAAGAGACTCAAACGCAAGCTCCGGTGTTTCAGCGAGTTGAGCCCCCGCCCCCAGCGCACATGAGGGTCGTTGCCGGCCCCTTCCATCAGGTTGAAGGACGTGATGTGGTTCATGTGTTTGAAAACTGCTGGGGCTTACGCAACGCTGGCCGGAAGAAGATGGTCCATCTCTGTCGCTGCTGTACAGAGAACGGAGGGAACCGCATTTATTAAGGGGTGTGGTCCCAGTCTGTCAACAGGCACCAAGGAGGAGTGTAGAATATGCGTTTCCCCTTGTGTGTCCTGACGCTTTTATGGTCAAGTCAAGATCAAGCTTAGCGGACAAAGCTCCGCATTCTGGCTAATTGTACAAGAGCCATAATCGGCAGAAGCCAGCAAAGCACAGAAGCATGTCCTTGCTTGGTAAAAAGACCGGAAGTAGCTTGCGTTGATCGTGCATGGTTGGTGCTGTCCTGTCTGCATAAATCCTTCCTCTTACGACTTCGCCCTCAATTCGAGAAGTGGATCTTCAAAGACTTTTAGGGCTTTAGGGGCTTTAGGGGTTAGGGCTTCGAGACTGAAGGGCTTAGGGGCTTTAGGGGCTTTAGGGGTTAGGGCTTCGAGACTGAAGGGCTTAGGGGCTTTAGGGGTTTAGGGTTCAGGGGTTTAGGTTTACGGTTTAGGGTTTGGTTGAGGCTTGAGGTCGGTTTAAGGTTTAGGACTATTAGAGCTGGGGAAGTGGGAGTTTTTGAAAGTGATGCGTTTTTGGTCGAGTCTAGGATTAAAGGTTGAGGTTGTCGGCGTAAGGGTTTAGGGTTGAGGGGCAGGAACCCCTAGCTTCAAGAAGGTTTTGGCCCCCAAAGCTCGTGCACAGCTGATCTTGAGCACACTCCTAGGTCAAGAGCGACCACTACGTGATCGCGAGGTGCATCTGTTCTTTTTGTGAGGGAGATTTGATGGGAAGTTTGGTCGCGCAGTTTGGGGAATTTTGAAGGTTTGGACAAAGTTAGATTTGGGTTTTGGACTTTGCGGAATGTTTGCTTAGGAATGTCAGTTCAGTGCTTCTCATGGTGCTTAGGTCCCCGGACCCTGACCGCTGGGAGGTGAGGAGGTGAGGTGCGTACTGGAGCTGGAGTTGTGCAGGGAAACCTGCTGCTCAAGGCCCGAGAAGCACCCTGAAACTCTGCAGAGCCAGAAAACATCAAAGCCTTAAGGCCTAAACAACCGGCGAGCTCTCCCAAAACTAACGCTGAATCCTTATCCGAAACCCTACAGAACTAACCCTGAACCCTAAACCCTAAACGTTAGATCCTAAACCCTAATTTTTTGCCCTCTGTTGGCTAGCAGGCGCACTCGCGAGATCATCCGCGGGCTGGTCAAGGCCAGCGACGGCAAGGCGGGAAGCTCTGTGCAATCAGAAAGGGGGCATGTCCTAACCCTAACTTTAGGGTTTAGGGCTTAGAGTTTAGGGTTTAGGGCTTAGGGTTTCCAGACTTGGAGGATCATTGGATTTCGTAAGTAAGGTCATAATTACCTTGACTGGAGTTAAAAATAGGTTGCGGCATTTAACAGCCCTAGTTACTTAGTCCCATGATCCTCTAAAGTACACCCCAAACTCATGACAACGCAGAGGAAGTTTTCAAAGAGGGCTCGTAAGGGTTTTTCGGTTGTCACAGGATCTGTCAAACGTGTCAAAGGATCTTTTGGCTGTAGGGGTTCGAGTTTCTTTCTCTAGGGCCCGGAGTAGGCGCTTATTCCCTTTTTTTGGGGTTAGGTTCCCTTGTAACACCCTTTAAACCAAAAAGGGCACCCTTTTTATTCCTAGGTTACTCTTAGGTCTAGTTCCTTCATTCGGAGTACTTTGTCCAGGGATCGTGGGATCCGGGAGTGGGCGGTAGCGGCAGAACCTAACAGCGCTGTCAGCATAGTTCCTTGGTGCTCAAGCTCTACTTGTTGAGTCGTAAAGCACCCTGGTGCAGCCATTCTGGCAGACATAGAGATTACTAATTATATTCTATCCTCAAATAACCTATGCAAGTCCTCCGACTCGACTACAATGTCCAACGGACTGCGGTTCTAAGTTTTCAGGCCCTGAGTCTTTAGGGAAGCAAAGCCCCAAGCTGCTGCAGGCGTCATTGGAGGGGCAGCTGGAGAAGACCCGGCGGAAGCTGCAAGAAGGCCTTCAGGGTACAACGTTCAGGGGACTTTTGGTTCAACAGCAACTCCACTCTAGAGGGTCTATTAGTATTATTACTAATACTACTACTGCTACTGCTACTACTACTACTACTACTACTACTACTACTACTACTGCTATTGCTACTGCTACTACTACTACTACTACTACTACTACTCCTACTACTACTACTACTACTACTACTACTACTACTACTACTACTACTACTACTACTACTACTACTACTACTACTACTACTACTACTACTACTATGGAACCAGGCCCTCCAAACCCATTATGAGGATGGTCTTTGGAGACCGGGGACCTATAATTCCACAATGGTAGTAACTAACGACCCTGTGGGTACAACTACGGCCCAAAACTCGCACGTTTAGGGTTTAGGGTTGAGGGTTTAGGATGATTACGGAGGCTTTTGGGCTTACCTCCCATGAGTGCAAGGCATGAGGACCCTCACGCATGTGGCCGGCTGCGTTGAGCACCATCAGGAGCCTGCACGCATTGCCGAGCTTTCTCTTGAGAGCCGTCTCAGGATTTCGGGTGCATGGGTCAGGTGTCTGAAGCCGGGAAGAGTTTGCGCCTTGCAGTCGTCATGTCGGAAGTTGAGGGTTGGGAACAACTCGCAGGCACTGTAGTTCTCGTTTTGATTGTGACCACGACACAGCAGCAGCAGTCCAATAACGTCAGAAGCAACTACTGTAAACGCAGTCATGAACCGCTGAGTAGCAGGTCAACAGCAACACCCACAGCAATGTTAGCACGAGCAAGTAAGACCAATCAAAGTAAGACTCGTGCTTCAATGCCGTGCTGTCAAGGGTGTAGGATCATGCCGGAAACCATGTCTGAGTTCAAATCCCCAAAGTCCCCATACCCCGACTGGACTAAACCCCTGAACCGTATATACACCCTAGAATCCTGAAAGCCCTAAGCCCTAAAACAGGGAGCACGGGAGCCCTAACTCCCCCAGCTCTGGCCCTCTGCAGCAGTCCGAGGATCCAGTCCAAGTCTAAACACAAAGCCCAAAACTTTGAACGCAAGCCAGCCCCAAGCTCCAAAGACCCTCGAACCGAAGGCCTTTGGCCTAATGCCGAGACCCGAAACCCTAAGCCCGAAACCCTGTAACGCCCTTAGAGATCCCTACGGGGACCTCTAAAGACCTTAAAGGAAACCTCGAAGCATCCTGAAACCCTCAAACCCTGGAGCCCTCCAGCCCCAAAGCTTCTCTGAGATGCAAATGACCTGTTTCAGGCCTTGGGGCTTTGGGGCTTTTGCTTAGGGGTCTTAGGGTTTAGGGTTTGGGGCT